AAATTCCGAGGCCCGGCGCACTGTCTCCCAACAGCGGTCAGTCGGATGGTCCTGTAGTTTAGAAGATGACAATGATTATATATGACAGATATCAAGGTAATGGACGATCTAGAGAAACAGTAAACAAAAATCGCAAAGCATGCAATAGGTGCTTGCTCAGTATGGACTGAATCAGAAAAAATTAGAAATCAATATTCAACAAAATCAAATACAATGTATAAAAATCAACAAAACATAAGAAGGGATTAGCAGAAGAACCAAAGGCAACAGCAGCAGCAATAGGCACGCAAGCCTAAACCATATGCAACTCAGAGCTATAAAGCACAAAAAATGCAACCAAATATATCATAGCTAGGAATTTAATAATGGCAGCAGATGGTCTGTAGTTTTAGAAGATGACAATGATTATATATGGACGATATTCTAGGAATTGGAGATTATAAAACAGTACTTAACAAAAATCGCTCAGTCATGCTCCAGATTAGCTGAATCAAAAAGATTAGAATTTAATATGAACAAAACAAATACAATGGTTATAAAATTCACAAACAAAGAAAGGATAGAGAAGGAGACCAAGGCAACCAAGGCAATAGGCAACCAAGCCAATAGGCAACCAAGTAATCAAAAAATGCACCAAATATTCATACCTAGGAGATTTAATTAATGATATATAGGTTATAACGATATGATAAGAGTCCGAACTAAAAAATGTTGATAATGAGCCGTTTCATGATGAGCGAAATAATATTATTAACATGAGCAGAAGAGCAAAATTATGGAAATCGTACTATAGAAGCAAGAGTGAAATTATACGAATGCACAGTTTGACCTTCCTTCCTAAATAACAGTGAAACATGGACTAACTTAACTAAGGAAGAAGTAAAAAAGTTGGAGGATTTCCAAAATGAGTGCCTGCGCAAAATAATAATCACGCAGAAAACGCAGAAAAATCTACGGAAATGCATTGAAAGGCAATGAAAATTCCAAGAAAAGATACGGAGAAATCAGTAAAAATAACATATAGTTTCTATACGTAAATCGTGGTAAATACATTAAAAACGCAATATTTTATTGAAAATCCCCATAAATACTTATAAAACATCCAAGAGATGGCGCTGTGGCATGTAAACGTTGGCTGTATTTTGATGAAAAATGTTCAATGAATGACGCACTCGTTCACTTCCGACAGCGAGTGAAAATGCGGGAAATTTTTCTCTTCGATGCGAAATGCATCGGCCGGGCATTTCATTATTTACGAAAAGTAAATAGGCCGGCGAAAAACGGTAGGTACAGGAACCGGTAAAATCGGTCACGCCCCATTCATGTCCATCAACGAAGAAGGCGGAGCTTATTCTGTTTACGGAGATGCGAAAATGCAACAGAAAGAACTAGCGCAGTGCACTAAACAGCGTGTTATTTTTGTATTTGTGCCACTCTATCGTAGGAAACCGTTCTAGCCTAGCAGAATGCCCTAGTTCCTGAGATCGGCGATTTCATGCTGTTATGGATCCCCACCTATAAAAAGATCAAAGAGCGGTGCGGCGAAGGCTGTGATTGGAAGACACAAAGTGTCAATCCTTGGCAAGCCTCGGCATCATGGCCGCATCACGTCTAGATCTAGGAAAGTGAGAACATTTCGATTACATGCAGTTCTCAACCTTTGTGAGTTTGATTTACACATTTTCAGACTGACACAATTGTCACTTGACACATTTTAACAATTTCTAAGGAAAATTTATTGGTCAACTTGACAAGTAACAAGTCTATGCAGTGTTTTCTCCAGGCCTTTAATGCAAGAAAGGCATGACATGCCTTCAAGTTTAACCTAATTTGCAACATCCCATAAATCAACCGACGCCTAATCAACATTGCTTAATTTCCAGCTGCGTCTAATGTTGATAATCCCAACACAGGTATGCTGTGCTTTCACAGCTTGATGCATAATACGTATCTGAACTGATCGGAGTATCTGTGTATTGCTATCAGCGCTGCTCACAACATGCACCTAACAACTCACAATTCCAATTAGCAATCAGGGATGAATTGTCCCACATGCCTTCTGAAATTCCTATAGAGAACCTAGATAACCCAAAAGATTAGGGTGAACAAAAGGGGTGAACCTGATTCCGAACCCCATACTCTTGTTAGGTTACATTAGTCATTACTGTATCTAAGTTACATGGAGACCCCTGCTAAAGGCCAAGACACACTGCAGCGACAGCGACCGACCGTAATGACAAACGACAAAGTCACGGCGACTGGCGCAAACACACTGCAGCAACAGCGACTGACGTTAGGTCAAAGTTCACCCAGCACTCGCCACAGTGGTACACATCATCACATGAACAAATGGCAAAAACTCATGCTGCTGCTTTCAAATAACAGGCTGCAAAAACTCTTTAGGTATAAGAATAAGATAATAAAGTAAAACTATCAGTGTTTATAAAGTAAAACCGCAGCTAACTATCATGTACTGTACGTACCATGTCTAGCTTGCCACAGCTTACATGCTTTGGTTGGACTGGTTCGCGGCCCCATTGTTTGTGACATGCGGCGCGAGTTTAGCGCCGGAGACCAGTCTACGTCATGGCTAGCATTATGGGTTATTTATGACGTAATCGTTATGTCACGTGCCGATGGAAACGGCTGCGATTGGCTATTTGTAAAGTGTCGCTCGCGACTATCGCTGGAGAATAGAAACGTTCCTAAATATTTTTGTTGTTGAGGTTGTCGCCGGTCGTTGTCGCGTGTGTGTGCAATGGCTCATAGGAAACAATACCAGTTTCTAATTTTTTTTTAAGTCGTTTGTCGTTACGGTCGGTCGCTGTCGCTGCAGTGTGTCTTGGCCTTAATGCTGTTTGAAACGGTGAAAATCCAGTTTAGCAACACAGCCACGGCACAACAATTCATAACAATTTAGTATAGTAGTATTAATACTATAGTAAGTGTCGCGAGGTATACAGTAGCGACGTGGATATTCGTCCGAGCATCGGACACCTGTTCGTATGCGCTATTCGTCCGAGCAT